TTAAAGGGGGTGGGGGGGTATACAGGGTTTTGCTGTAAAAACGCACTCCTATCATAATGATGATATATATCTGCTGTACAAATACAATTTTGTCACATACAGAGACATAACCATTCATTTGGTTTGTGCTACATGTTTGATTTGAAATACAAAGTACATGTCAATAAAAAATAAACAAACATGTTAAATAAATTTAAAAAAATAAAAACCTTTAAAAAACAATGGATAAAATAAATAATACTAAAAACTGTGTAAATCCTTTCCTGCTTTGATTACAGCTTCAGTTAGTTTTGGATCTGCTGCCCAATTCACACGACTGCCATGAACGATCCTCTGGAGACGTTGGGGGGGGGGGAAAAAAACCAGACCAGAATGAATAAGATCATCAAATTCTTTGCTGTATAATTCAGGCAAACACCAAAACCAATCCACAAGTGACATGCATTTCCATGTGCGCCCCTGCACTGTGCTTGGGAGCGGTCACACCAGCTCTTCTGAGGCTGTGCTGGGAGCTGCAGGAGAAAACATATACGACAGCACAGGAGGGTGACGTTTAGGGAGCCTAACTCCCCACCCAACCACCACCCTACCTCTTTCCCTGTGAGCCCAGTGCTGGGGGTTGCACAATGTCTTGAGAACCTGAGCCCCCCCCCCAGCAACTTGCAATTGCACAGAATGAAGGATGGGCATAGTCAGTGGCAGCATAAGTGAATGGAATTGCACACACTTAACACTGTCAAGTAATCTGCAGCTGGACAGATGTGTCACCTGCCCGGTGCCTGCTATGTCTGCAGTACCTCATTGCCGATTTAAATGGCACCCCAATGCACTAAAGCAATGTACCGGAGTTTTAGCATGCCGCAGTGCAGTAGTACATTGTGTTAAGGGTCCTGTGTGATTTTAAGCATGTTATGGTGCACTGGCAGCTAATTTTGAATGGGCTGCCTTAATGCAAGGCACATTAATGTGCAACATAATGCACATGCATTACTTCACTGCAAAGAAGTAAATGAGCCCTTTTTGTTGGGGCATGGAAAGTTTTGGAAGAAAATGACAAGACTCCAGTGTTACTAAGATTAAGAACTACTGCACTAACCCATGGTTATCTTCATTGCGGGCACCCCAAACTATTACCTTTACAAATAATAGGCTAAACTGCACATTAATGCCAACACATTGATCCTTTCATTTCCACCCTGTTGTCCATTGGACCAGCCCTACACACAACCTTCTGGTGGACCTTCACCCCAATTCACATGGTAGGTATGGCACATTCCATATCTCCCTGTGGCCACCCACCTGCAAATACAAAAACATGCAGCTTTCATACCTGGAATATATTCTGCAACATGAAGGTGACATCTGTTTCCTTTTGTACATATTTGAATATTTTTTTAAACTTCTGATCTTTTGGCTCTTTCTGCAATCGTAGTTCATCGGCTATGGAGAGAACTTCTGTCATCAGCTCCGTGCTCTTTACTTTAAGGGCTGCCGAAATTAAGGGGAACAAAAAAAAAAAAAAAAAAAAAAAAGGTTAAAACAAGTTTATTGGATTTTTCCAAATACAGTTAAAAATGTGAACTAAAGGTTTTATTTTATTGAAAAATAAATACATTTTTACATTGTTTGCAGGAAGTCTGTCCCGAACTAAAGGAGAATGAAAGAAGACTGGACTCGGGCAATCTTAAAGAGTGAGTAACAAGTCAGTGCGCACTCTGCAGCTGCTATTTTGCCTCTTATTCAGCAGCCATTCTGCAGCGTCTGTGGAACATCTCTTCCTGCTCCTTAACTCTGCATCCTGACCACACCAATGTCATCTCTCACTGCAAGGAGAACACACTAAGAGTTGAGCAATTAGCGGTTACATGATCGCTCAGTTCTTGGTCTTACAGCCGGCGTGTGACTTCTGCAATGTCACACGCTGACTCCACGCTGCAAGGAAAATATGATTTACTCTCCCTGCACTTCTTTAATTGTTGTGTCTGCATAAGCTTTCTTTTTCCCCATTTATCTTCCCCTGGTGACCCTGCCAATAGACACTCACTCACCATTCTGACTCTATGGAGAAGCAGGCTGCACTTCTGATTTGGACTACAATCACCTTCCCATCTCCTCTTCTCCATTACAGAGGGGAGGGATTCTGAAGTCCAGGAATAAGGAGTATAGCACAGGCATAGAGTGCACTGAATCATGGTACTCTTCAGTTTTACCTATCGTTCCGGTGGCATTATTGTGATTGTTCGCTGTAAACCTGTTGCACATGACCTAACACCTGATGGGATCAGCTTTTACCTGTGATATTATTCAGGATTTAGATAGTGCCAACAGTTTGCACAACGCTTTACAAAATGGAGGGAGACAGTACAGTTACAATACAGGAGGGTCTTGCGCATAAGAGCTTACAATCTAGTAGCAGGGGAAAGTGATATGCTCTGACCAAATCATCACTTCGTATCTGCAATATTCTTGTTTGTTTCAATAAAAAGGTGATTTTCCGTGTTCTCCAGCCAGTGCACTCTGCTTGCTTTCTGCTGAAGAAAGGCATTTATATTTCTGTCTAATGTAGATTTAGCTTAATTTCCTCTCTGGTGAAAATGTTGTCACTAGGACAGTGAGGGTAATTCTCTCTAGCGGACCCTCAGATATTAAAAACCTGACCGAGGTTTAAACCTTCCCCACTCTATCCAAAGCTACACTTTAACATTCGGCTAGCTTACAGCGTGAGATAGCTGTGAGGTTTCTACAGAAAATGGAGCCACAGTGGAGGAGAGGAAAAAAAGCAGCTTGTAATGGTCGACCATTTCATGTGATTAAAAAAATAAAAAGAACAAAATCCTTGCACATCAATGGTATGCGATATCCCTTCATGGTAAAATTAACATTTGGATGAAAATATTATTTAGAAATAAAAGAAACACCGGTAAACTAACTCCTCCAGTAAACGGACCCAAATTTATCCCGGACAAGCAGCTTGTTTTTAGATCATCTTTGTTCATCCTACAAAAGACGTACGTAGACCACAGTTTGACAACCAAATAGGAGGGAATAACACCCCGGTTAGGGTTTTAACATCTTACATGTCAACCACAAAAATATGATAAGTGGGTAAACGGGCCACACATAACCATGAACAGCTTAGGGCTGCCTACAACTTACCCATTCTTTTCTCTCTCATTTCGATAAGTTGCTTCTCCAATGCCCGAGTTTCCTGTAAATAAATGCAGTTTATAATTATATCCAGTCTGTTCACATGTGCCCAAATCTACAGGGACGGGAACCTACTTAAGGTGCCCATACACCTTACGTCTAGGAATGCACTGATACCGATACTAGTATCAATATCGGTGCCGATTTCGAGTATTTGGGCAAGTACTCGTATTCGCCCAAATGCTCCAATGCCTAGCACGAGTACTTCCGGTATCAGGAAGCTGGGCAGCGCGTTATTAAGATTGGCCGGGAAGCTGGCTTCATGCTCCCTCGTCATCTCATGACGAGAGCATGGCGCCGGCCTCCCGGCCAATCAGAAAGCAGGGCGTTGCGCCATTACACGGCGCCAGGTTCCTGATTGGCCGGCCAGAAGGCTCCGGCTGGGTACCGGACGAAGGCCGCGTTCTCACTGGAGAGGCCCCTGGGGCGACAGGCTGCACATACTAAGGTAAGAGGGGACTTTCTTGTTAATCAGGAAGCCAGGTGGCGAGTCATTACACGCCACCTGGCTTCCTGAATGGGACTTCCGTTACTCGGCAATTGGTATCGGCGAGTACCGAAAAAAAATTATCGGTACTCGGTATCAAAATACCGGTATCGGTGCATCCCTACTTACGACCATCGCAAGACTTTTGTCTTGCAATGGTCGTAAGCTTATTAAAAGCTTGTACGATCTGCCCATCTTGGACAGGCAGATCGTACTTGCGATCATCGATAGCCCTCCCCGCTGAGGGGTGGGCTTCCGATGACCGCGCTGAGGGGTGGGCTTCCGATGACCGCGCTGAGGGGTGGGCTTCCGATGACCGCAATGAGGGACGGGCTTCCGATGACCGCAAACGGGCAGTGTGCGCGTGTGCACACCAGCCCGTTCGGCAGTTCAACAAGCAGGCCACTCAGCAGACACAATCTGAAGTAGTAGCTGTGCATAATAACCAATCTGCTTCTAGCTTTCATTTTCAAAGCATAAGTGAACAAGCAGACGATAGAAGCTGATTGGCTACTATGCACAGCTGCTCCAGGTGTAGTAAATTCCCCCAGTGTCTTAAATATTGCATATTATGATAGAACATCTGGAAATATGAAACAGCAAACGGAAAAAAATGAAGTGATTGCAAGTTTTAGTGCTTTGTATATACAGGTAGTCCCCGAGTTACATACATCCGACTCCTACTTACAAACGGAGGCTATTACTGTACAGTAGTGGTAGTTGTAATGCTAGTAGTACTGTATGTACATTACAGGAAGTTGGCTCTTGTTAGACATGCAGACGAGGGGTGCCCGCCTCTTCTTCCGGGTCACTGAGGTTTTTACTGCTGTCTGTATCCTCATTAGAAAGATTTAATCTCACTTCCTGTCCTTGAGACAACAGTAAGTGAGAAGAAATCTACCACTAGGAAGGGAAATTCACTCCTGTAAGAGTGATCATGGGAAAAAGGTGTCTCCATTGAAGCTTTATCAAAAATGTTCAAAATCCAAATTGTCACAGGGACAAAGTGAGGTGAAATCTTCTGAACAGGGGTACACACAGAAAAACAAACGTTACAGGGGTTAACCCTTCTCTATGCTATCCAAAACAAACAAAAAAAACATTTTGGCTGGAGTTATACTTAAAAAAAATGTATCTGTTCCAACCTGCAAACAAATTCAACTTAAGAACAAACCTACAGAACCGATCTTGTTCGTAACCCGGGGACTGCCTGTATATTAAACAAACATGTATTATACTTCCCACCGCACAAGACAATGGTCTGGATTCTTCTACAACAGGAAGATTTGGGGAGTATTGGGGAAGGTGGAAATGTTGTGGACACTATAAGTAACTGCACATATCACAGGGCCTTTATGTGTTAGGACACAAACTAAAATAAACAGAACCAACAACTGATGTTCTGTTCCAGTTGTTACCCACTTGTAATGCTGAGGATACAGTGGTTCTAAATAGGTTTGTATAGTCAATAACATTCGTTAGCCCTTGATGTCAGGAGTGATCATCAATAGTCTTCACATGCACAGGACCAGCATGTTCATGATTATGCCATTCATGTACAGGACTAGTGATGACTTGATTAAGGAAATAAGAGAACCCTAAACTATCACATCGGCAGTATTAGGCAATTCATGAATCACTGGTGAGATTTTTCACAGGTCAGACAGATCTGCAGTCTATGATTAGTATGCTAAATAGCCTTCTATTCACCTCAACAAAAATAGAAAATGGTAATATTCCTGATATGATTATCACTCCGGAGCCTCATGTAGCCCAGAGTAGAATAACTTACCATCTGTTCTTTAAGTATTACAGAAGCAACTTCAAAACTGTGATTTGTGATTTTTCTTAAAAACCTGAAATAAAAATCAAAAATTTACTTACTGACATTAAGATTTTTTTTCTTTTTAATACAGAAAATGTGACTGTTTGCCCATAATATTAGCCCTGGCCTACCCTCATTCTCATTTCTAGCCCGATTCTAGCACCTTAAGATTAAGCTGGCCATACACTATTCTATTTTTTCATTCAACCCACAGGTTGAAAAAAAAAAAAAAAAAAAAACTTTGTACTCTGAAAGCAGCGGCTGCTGTCAGACTACCTGAACAGACCAGGCAGCTGCTTGGCTGCCTGCTCTGTCCCTTCGCAAATTTTCAAACTGGCTTTTTTGATTGGCTGGCCTAAAGGGTACCAATAGCAGCACCCACTGTGTGAACTTCAACCAGTTCCTGAAGAGCCAGCTAACATTCGCTTAAAGAACTCCAGGTAAAAATTGTATTAACACTTGCAGTGGGGCTACCACTGCACTGCAAGGAATCACTGCTTATTTGTTTCTAGGTGCTAAAAAAAAAAAAAGTTATACTCAGCCAATCATTCCAGCCAGCTTGTTCTTAGACTGATCCCTGGAGCCTCTCTCCCCCTCCTCTGCAGTGGTGTATAGACGTGAGGGACATTCCATCTGAGCAGTAGAGGAGACAGGCTTCAGTGACCAGAGAAGCAGGGAGTCGACAAACAAGCAGTTATCCCTTTCAGTGCAGGGGTAGACCCACTGCAAAGGTTAATACATTTTCCCCCCTAGTGTTCTTTAATGTATGGCTAGCTTTAGACTTCTGCCCAAGTCAGGAATGTTCCCCTCCATTCCTAGCACTAGACCTCACCCCCATCATTCAGCTACCAAAATGCTAAAGTCTCTGCTACTGACCGAATTTCTGGCATTTAACAACTGAATGGCAGAAGTTATTGCTCGATATCCACTTGGAGCGATAAAAATATACAAGCCACAGGAGCCTCCCACTCTGCCATTGTGGCTAAATGCCAGAGAAAAGCTTGGTCACTTCCTGATCGTATTAAAGCTTGCCTGCTCCCTTTCACATGCGTTCCTCCTGGACCAATCACTTTGAAGGGCTCCCTCACTGGCCATTAGGAATAAGTAAAAGGCAGAAGGGGAGGGAACAAGGTTTGACAATTGGAATGGCAGTGCTTGAAGCCTGCTACAAGTATGTGTGTGGGCACCCTTAGGTACCTGCACTTCATGCCTGACAGCAGTCTGTTTACCTGTGTCAAGATTCAAGTGCTTTCAAACAAGCTGCAGATATTAGAGAGCCGCACTGAACAGATCATTGATTTAAACTCATGAAACCACAATTAATAAAATGTGTGGATTATTTAATTTCTTAGCAACTGCAATCTGTGCATAAATGAAAAACCAAAATGCCATAATAAAAATAAAAAAATAAAAACTTACTCTGAATCAGTGTTTTTCTCCTGTATCTTGTTCTGAACTTTGTAGAATAGCTGCATTCTTGTATATAAACAAAACAAGGAAAAATCGTCAATGCAATGCTTCCTGAAACCATTTAAAATCCCCCATGAATAGAGAGCATTATAAAGTATCACTAAACGTCCAATGTATTCATGCGGATTATCCTGCCACCTAATATTTGATAAATCACATATACACACACAGGGGAGAAAGAGAAACATCAAGTGTGGCACAGAGAAGACAAAAGAAATTGGCTGGAATGGGTGGCCCCGCTGGCTCAAAAAAAGGTGATTACCGTATATACTCGAGTATAAGCCGTCCCGAATATAAGCCGAGGTACCTAATTAAGATTTTTGTCAAAAGGAGCCAGGCTGAAAATGCGAGGCTGAACAACGGCTGCAGGGACTGCTCATGTATTCTGACAGCAGATAGCGTTGATGGAAAAAAATCTGACATTTCTTTTGTTCAGCCCTCAGGCTGAATGAAAAAAACATCTGTTAGTGTATGGGCAGCATAGGGCTTCATCTACACCAGTACAGGTCACAGTGGTAACTGCCACTATGTACAGAACCATACAGCTGCGTCACATATTTTCCCCCCTAAGCTCGTGAAATTCAATGACCTTTGATCTACCTTGATTTCCAAAGCAGCCCAGCAAAATTATTACAATAGAAGTAAATGTGAGGGAACCAAGCTTTGTTGAATTGGAAAAGGTTGATTGAAGAGGACTTGCAATAAGTTAATTGCGTCCTCAATGTGAAGCAACATTGAGAGCTGCACAATTTCTACATCTCCTAGCAAAGGGTATCAACTGTTAGAAATAGAGCTTAAATAAACCGCTTAAAGGAGAACTATGGGGTCAGTGTTTTTCCCCATAGTTCTCCTTAGGGTAACAAGGTGAGTGGAAATCACTCATCTCATAGTTCTCCTTTAACCTTCAAGTTGCTTAAAGAAGAGCGGTCAACATAAAGAGAGGAGCCAGCCTTACCTTTGCACCAAAACTGACTTATTGCAATATGTAACTTTGGCATTTTCAATTTCCAAAACCAGTTGTCTAATCCTGTAAAAGAAACATTGATATTAGAATCTCTGGGATAACCTTCCTCACCATCAACACACAGGTCTTTATTTATGTACCATTTTAGATGTATAGAGAATGTGTAGTGCCTTAAGCAAAAAAGACAAATACCTGACATGAGAAAAATGCATGCGTACAATCAGCTCTGAACATGCTTCTTACCTGGCTGTGCTGTCAAATGTTTGTGATTTGAGTGTTTCACAAGCAATAATGTAGACTAACAAAAGGCTGCCCATTTGGGCAGTATGTAGAAGAGTTGTGTGAAGGGGTATGCTGGCATGCAGGGGTATGACAGTGGATGGTATGTACAGGGTGAGGGCAGAGGTTATGGCGGCAGGCAGTATGTGCAGGAAAGGAATGTCAAATGTGTTACAGCAGGCAGGATGTACAGCACAGGAGTGCAGAGGGTGTAGCAGTAAATACAGGAGGGGAGCGCGCAGGGTATGACAGCGGGCATATTATACAGGAGAGGAGTGCGGAGGGTATGGTGGCACCCAGTATATACAGGTGGGAAGTGCAGAGACTATGACGGCAGGCAATATGAGCAGTAGAAGAGTGCGGAGGGTATGGCAGCGGGCAGTATGTGCATGAATAACGTTCGGTGGGTATGAAGATTGACAGTATGGGCAAGAGGGGGAGGGAGGGTTTTTTTTGGCTGCCCCAGGAGCAGGGACTCACAACAGCCATTGGGCAGACCTGGTTGCACATCATTGGGGGCCAACTGCAGAACGTGGAAGAGACAGCCAGCTCCAGGCACCTGAGCTGTGGCAGCGGATCACAGCAGAATAACGCTGGATATGCTGGACAGGTTTGTATGTTTTCTGGCGAGAACCCATCATAACTAGTAGAAGAGAAAAAAATGGGCAAGCCTAAGGGTTTGAGCGACTTTGACAAGGACTAAATTTTGATTGCTGGACGAATGGGCCAGAGCAACCCCAAAACTGCAGCTCTGGTGGGATGTTCCTACAGTGGTCAGGACCAACCAAAACTGGTCCAAGAAAAGAAAACTGGTGAAGAGGCAACAGGGTCAAGGGTGGCCAAGGCTCTTTGATGGAGAGCAAAAGGAGACCCCACCTCACAACTTATAGGACTTAAAGTATTTGCTACGGATGGCTTTGTGCCAGATATCACAGCACAGCTTCAGAGGTCTAGTGGAGTCCATTCCTCGATGGGTCAGGGCTGTTTTGGCTTCAAAAGCAGGACCTATCCAATATTAGGTAGGTGGTCATAATGTTATGGCTGATCTGTGTGTGTGTATGAGGTTTTCCTATATCAGATATTACAATGAAGGCAGGTTGCCTCTACATAAAAACAAACAAGTATGTAAGATGCAGAGACTTGGATGGGGAAAAAACACTTACGCCTCCTTTAGATTCTCTACCGTAATATACTCAAGAGACAGTTCATCGACAGATATTTCACCTGCAGTGAATGTTAAGAATAAGTAATCAGGAAATTCAGAGGTAACACTTGTTTTATTAAAGTCTTTGTCATTACAAGGTCAAAACAGCAAATGGCAATATCTGGGGAAGAGAGTCTCTATACTTACTTTCGGTCAGTCTGTATCTTGAAACGCATCCACAATGCTGCTCCCCAGTCCCAAGTATTCCCCTAGCAAGAGGAGTTGAATACCTGTTTCCCCTACTAGCAAGGTGATCCCTCCTGCTGGGTCGTAAGTCATGTAGGATGTACAAGCTGGAGAGAGGAACCACTGTGTACAACCTGGGTAAGCGGAATTCACACAGAAATGCTGAATATTTGCGGCAGCTAGGGACCTACATCAGCGCTGCATTTCAAGGCATGCACCACTGGAAGGAATTTATAGATCCGCAGGTATTGCCATTTGCTTTGTTTACCCTGTAGGTCACTAAGATTAGCACAACAAAATACAGAGGTTGTTCCTGCAGCTCAAAAAATTACAACTTTCAGATACTGTTCACACCATATGCAGTGCGTTCTGGCCACAACGCACTGCATTGCGGCCGGCTCAGTATTCCGTGGGGCCGGAGGGGGCGTGGCTGGCCATTGAGGTGAATGGCACCATAGCCACGCCCTCCCGCCGCAATGCGATCGCCTGCACGGGATCGCAAGGCACAGTGTGCGGTCAAAATGCTGCAAGCACTATTTTGACCGCACTGGAGGCACAATGTGCCTTACGATCCTGTGCGGGTAATCGCATTGCGGCCGGAGGGCTTGGCTACGGTGCCATTCACTTAAATCTGATTGGATGCAGGCATTGTTCAGGTGTTTTGAGAGCCAGCGGGGCCGACTAGCAAGATACTGAAGCTCGGCTCAGTGGGAGAATACTCCATCCACACAGTTTAGCGTAGATGGAGGAATCTGTTGCACTTTTTCCATCTGACCATAGAAAGTCTACAGATACTCTATAGATGTATGACCAGTTTTAGAATGGTTCCCTGGAGTCTCGCTCCCCCTCCACTGTAGCGGTCTACGGATCCTCGAGTCATCATGTTCTATACACAGTGTATAGGACATGATGATGAAGGGGAGATACCATCGCTGCAGCGGAGGAAGAGACAGGCTGGAGGGAGTACTGTCACAGCCGTCCTGATCCAAGATTCAGGTGAGCATAACTTTTTTTTTTTAAGCTAGATAAAAACGAGCACTTAACCCTTATAGCCCCACTGCAAGGGTTAAGAATTGCTTATCCCCTGGAGCTTTGCTTTGTTTTTTTAAAAGTAAACCTAAACATATCTGGGCAATTCAACTGCAGCACACAATGAAAATAACTGTAAAGTATAGTCCACCTTTTGGGGAAAGAAAAAAAATAAAAATAAAAATCACACACATTGGTAAAAGAAAACAAAAAACGTGCATTTGGTATTTTTTTCCCTTGATACCCCCATCCATACTAAACAGTGTGGATGAAGGAACTGACCCTTCCCCGCCCCCTGCAGGCAATCCTATTCTGACAGTACACCAAATTGGCTGCAGTCACTGTTCAGGAGAGAATTTGCAGACCAGCTCCAACAAAAGTCGATTGACAAAAAAAAAATGTGTTGAATGGAGTGGTGTCAATTCTTCTGACTGCTGAAAACTGAGCTGTGTATTGCCACCATAAAGTGACACTGAACTCCGGAGTTAAATCTTACAAATGTATTCAAGCACCTTAACTATTAACAGGAATGTATCCTAGTTGTGTATCACTCAGCTGTAGACCCTCAAATCATCTCTGAATTGGTGCTGACACTGTCCTTCCTTCTGGAGGGGGGCGACTTTTGTTCCCCATGGTCCCCGTGTTTGTTGTAAAGTAGTCACCACTCCAAGCTCACTCCCGTGATGGACTACAATCTCAATACAAATGATTAAACTAAACGTGAGATTGTAGTCCATCACGGGAGGGAGTTTGAAGTAGTTACAGAAATATAGTAATGGGGAATAAAACAAAAATGAAGATCTACCTGCACCAATTCTGTTCCGGAGATCAAACCTCTGCTGCTTCAATTGTTCCCGCAGCCTGTGAAATCACAAAATAAGTGATCATGGATAAACCAGAAAAGGGTTAAATATCCTACAAATTGTGAGACAGAAATTTGCATTGAAAGAAATGTTCAGGAAAACGGATAATGTGCATGTTGAGAACACCCAATGCACCCCTCTAAGTGTTTTTGTTTTTTTACATAGACTTCAACTTGATCTCCATTCCTTCTGTGATCTGTGGGTTCATGTTCCATAATGAGAGAGTGTTACACAAGAACTCCTGGTAAAGAAAATTATTTACCCTGCACTGGGGCTACCCCCAAACTGCAAGGGTTAAGTGCTCATTTCGTCTAGAGGGCTCAAATAAAGCTGACCTCACCTGACCCTCAGTCCTGCGGTGCTTAATGCTCACCACTCTCCCCCCTTTGCTTTAGCTGTGGAATGTCCCTCGGGATCCTCAAGTCGTATGCAGGTCAATGGACCTACCTAAGATGTAATGCTGTTAGCGGTCCTTAGACTTCCAGAGCCCAGGAGAGAAGAGGCTGTGGGGACTCGTCTAACAGCCAGTGGAACAGAAGATCAGCTGAGTATATCTGTTTTATTTGCATCCCCTAGACAAAAAGAGCACTTAATCCTTTGCAGTGTGGGGGAGGCCCCAGTATAAGAGTTCGTTTTTATTGTTTTCCCAGAGTTCTTCTTTAATCCTTTTGCCAATTAGCAGCTGACACTGACCAACTGCTAGCTGTCAGAGGGCTCACATACACAGATGCCCATAGATGTCAATGGCTGTATGCAGGTATGCGCCGGACTTGGGAAAACGTGTGCATGCGTACGGGTGTAAAACCCAGGACACAGACAGTCTGCATTGTCACTGATGTGTCCTGACCAGAAGCTGCACCTGGTGCACGGAGCAGGGAACAATTTCAAAAAGGTATCAGTAAAAGTAATTAATTTTTCCCTTTCAAAGCAGGAAGTGAATGTTCTGCAAGTGTAGAATGATATTTTGGAGTGTAAAGGTCCGCCGCTTTCAGGCTCCATTCACACGGGGAGTTCTGGCATTACTGTGGCAAGAAATTATTGCTTCCTGCAACAGAAATGATGCCAAATGCCCCAGTTCAGAAGCAGCCGCTGTACCCATTGAAGTAAGCGACTGGGTAATGGTGGCCGCATCGGTCAGCGGCAGTCCTCATGAAATCATACATGCGGTTTGGGATAGAGGATTGTCCTGGACACAGGATAGATGCACCCAGAGACATTCACTCCAAACCTTGTCATTTACTTCAATGGGCACAGCAGACCCATCTGAATGGGGACACCTCTGCAGCAGGGATGTGTAGGTTCTTTCTGCAGGAATCCCAGAGCACCTCATGTGAATGTGGCCTTACAAGCAGCTTATATAAGAATAAAGCACATCCTCCACCTTTCAGACCAGGTCACATCTGTAATTAGTGTAAAACTGGCCGCCCTCCGCCATAACACCGAATTACCAGTTGAACTTCATTCACACATATGTGTTTTTGGAACATTTGTTAAATTTTCTAATAGATAATGGGCTCAAATCAATTTTAACCTTAAAAAGGAGAATTATGAGGTGAGTGATTTTCACTCAGCCTCATAATCTGAGCCGACCTGTGACAATGAGACTGTCACAGGTCGGCTCAGTAGATCGGGAAGTGAGCGAACACATACCGTCGCTCGCTCACTTCTCGATCTATCCCTGCAGAGAGCAGGGACTGTCACAGCTCCCTGCAGGGACCCCCCCTCCCCTGTCCGATCCCCCAGCGCTGACTGGCAAAACGGACGGGGGAGGGCACAGCTGGCTCTGCCTCTGGATAGGCTGTCAATCCCGCAGCTGGGTGGATCCAGACAGTATTGTCAGGATGCGTCCTGGCTGAGGCATCTCAGTATACCGCGAGCTGTAGCTCGCGGTATACTGAGCTTTGGGTCACGGGACAACGCTAGTTTGTGTTCTCCAGTAAACCTTAGGAGAACTATGGGGAAAAGCCCTAACCCCATAGTTCCCCTTCTGGACAAAAAAAAAATCTTCTGAAAAGAGTAAAATTCTAACAGTGAATATGGTTTCCGTTCGGGACATTCCATAATCAACAGTTTTTAAAAAAAAAAAAAAAAGAACAAAAAATCATGCAAATTTCTAATGACATTCGTCAAGTCTCTGACGGCATTATGGAATGTTTTCACCAGATTTTTCATACGAAGGTTAGTATAAAAGTCATCCAGTGCATGGCCAGTTTGACATGAAACTAGGTCACATTCCCCAGCCCCCCACCTTACCTGAATCACAGCATTCTTCTCCATGAAGACTTCTGTATATATTTTTTTTTAATTCAGTACCAATGTGTGTGGCTCTGTCTGGACAGCCAAATCATCAGTTCACAGGGATCTGTGAACGGAAGGCTACAAGTCCCATCTGCCACCACGGGACAGGCACTGCATTGGAGTATGGCGCGGTCATGTGACCTCCTTGTTCATTTATAATATCCTCCACGCCCATAACTGTACATGCTCTATACTGTCATACAGACCTGGGGAGGAATAGTCTGCAGGAGCCAGAGCATTGCTCCCACCCTGAGCATGTTGTAATGCTCTGCAGGCTCTAATGCAAAACCTGGACTATGTCTTTAATGACACTGATGAGCACGGCAAATGGAAACACAATTTTATACTGGAGGGGTTCATACAGCCTGAATGGACGTCAATGATGTCTGGATAGTAATGGGTTAATATGGGCAGTGCGAGCATTTACAGGGGTGACATGAAATGTACACATGATCCTCCATACAGGTGTCTGCACAGCGCCTTTGGATGGGTCACACTCATTGGGGGGGGGAGGTGCTGTGAAGACACTGCGGGTGTCCTGGTTATCCGTGCTGCTCTGTACTCACCTCAGGATGATGTCCCCTTTCACTCTGGAGGAGGCCGTGTAATCACCGGTACCGGTCACCGTCACCCTGCACAGACCGGCGCTCTGCTGCCGTAGCCTAGACAGGACATTACTATCCCCGCGGCCCTCCGCCATCACATCCGAATCACCCGCTCGCCGACCGACCAATCCAAACCTTCCCCGCCCCTCATGGGGTGTGGCCCAAAGTCTTCCTTTCGCCATAAACCGTTACGGTCATGTGAACAATATAGAATCATGTGATCGTCTTTTTTTTTTAACATAAAACTTTATTTGTGTTGACGGACGT